GGCCATGTCGTACACAGCAAGAAAGGGGCAACCTACGTTGGCGCGACGCATTGTATGGCAATGCTGGAAGATGTACGTATTCATATAGGAGTCTGCGATGACCACAAGGAGCTGGGGCTAACAGTGAGTAGATTGAGGACTTGAAAGACTACTTTGAGCAGCCTGAAGAAGCGGGGGAGGATCAAATCCTAGACGATGAGATTGATCCCACAGAAGTCATGTTGAACACAAGAGCTGGACCAAGGAACCGAGAGGAGCTGCTTAGTCGCCTACCGGAGAGAAAGGTCGCAGATAGACTTCTTTCGCGTTACTTTGCGTCGATGAGTCCTTCGCAACGTTAGTATGTCCCGCTAAACACCCAATGCTTTTACTAACAATTGCCAGATATTGTTCACCGGCCAGTTTTCACCAGGCAGTATTCTAAGTTCTGGCAAGACCCAAACGAAGCATCATTGCATTGGATAGCGCAATTATTCATGATGCTCAGCCTTGGCGTATTTTTCAATAAGTTTATCAACTCAAGTGAGCTCGAGGGTGACTCTCCTCTCCCAGCTCAGGACAGGATCCGTCACTACAAGGCTTGTGCTGGATGGGCTCTCGTCTGGGGCAAATACACGCAACCATCCTCGGCGACACTCCCAGCGTTCTTGCTCTACGTTGAGTCATCTTTCCTCTTTAACCGTGCAGCTCAAATGAACTGCTACGTACTCTCAGGCGTGTGCATCCGTCTGATGCTCAAGATGGGTCTTCATAGAGACCCAAGTAAGCTGGCGAACATCTCGCCTTATGAGGGCGAGATGCGCAGGCGCATGTGGAACATGGCCATTCAGGTCGAACTTCTGGTTTCTTTCCACATGGGCCTCCCAAGTATGTTACAAGGCATAGAAACTGATACTGCAGTACCACGAAATCTAGACGACCATGACTTTGACGAAGATTCGACGGAATTGCCGCTTAGTCGACCACCTACAGACTGGACCTCCATGACATATCCAATCCATAAGACACAGATTCTTCGGGTGTTTGGACAGATTGCGAGACAAGCTCATGCTCTGACACCACCAAGTTATGCTGAGGTCGCCAAGCTCGACAACTTGCTGCACGAAACCTGGAAGAGTGTCCCATCTTTCATGATGGTACGCCCACTAGATGAGTGTGTTGGTGATCCGCCAGTTCTGCTCATCCAACGTTTCGGGTTGACAGCCCTATACAACAAATGCCGTATTGTATTGCATCGTCGGTATCTCGCAGAGGCAATTCCGCAGCGTGAGCATGATTACTCACGCAGGCAATGTCTGGAGGGTGCTTTGTCGCTGCTCAATTACCAACACATTATCTGGGAAGCTTGCAAGCCAGGACACGTATTGAGCCAGCATGGTTGGTTTGTCTCGTCCCTCGCGGTTCATGACTTTCTCATGGCCGCAATGGTGCTTTACCTGGTCATCAAGAATGAAAATTACTCAGAGGTTGGAAGTGACTATGACTGGATGTCGCAGACTGCACCAACGCCAACTAAAGATGAGTTAATTTGTATGATCAAGAGGTCTTGGCTCATCTGGGCAGATGTGTCACGAGACGCAGTGGAAGTCAAGAAAACAGCAGATACACTGGCTACAATGTTGGCCAAGCTCGGAGCTTCAGTTGAAGAGCCAGCAAGTGCCCTTGAACAAGCTGGTCCCAGTGTCAGTGGTGATAACGAATACTCTTCGCTTGGGGCTCCATCTGTAGACCCTAGCACACTGGGGTCGATCGGAGGTGACCCGGTACTGCTCTCGAGTCTGGGGTTGGGTAAGACATCCCAAGAAATATGATAGATAAGAGATATGCTTACAAGGATAGGCTCATCAACGGGATCTGCATCAGACCAGACACCCCTGGATCTCAATCTGGCAGGAGATGCAGGAACTAGCATGAACTTTACGAATATGGGGACAGAAGGTCTTCAGTTTGATCCGGCTTGGATGGATACTGCAGCTAGCAACATGGACTGGGTAAGTTGCGTCGTGGCCGTTATCTCGAAAGCTGTGTATTTGGCAAACTAACAATCTCGGTAGCGTTACCTCGACATATCGCTGGCTCACAGTCATGATGCTGGACGCAACGAAGACACTGGTCAGACGTGGATAGAGAGGGCACCACCATTGGAACAAATGGATATCATGAGTTCAGGAATATGGATTCCAGATCATCCTGAATCCACTTGAGGACGATCAAGCAACATCTTTAGAAGTGTAGTTGATGTTATACTAGAATTGGTCATATTGGCAATCTGAAACTAAGTTTTGATTACAACAGCTTATCGTATCTCGTTGATAACTTGCCGAGTCAGATAGTTAGATGAGGATGCTGATAACGCCTGACAGATCGTCCTCCGGGTATGCCACCACTTCAACAAACGAAAGGGTGGTGTGGCCCTCACGAACTGTTACGACCATCGGGCCATGCAATACATACACAACATTCCGAGCTAGGTCCGCTTTCTGGGGAAACGAGATCCGGGGGACTAGCTAGCAATCCCCGCACAGCATCTAGATGTTGATGATTTGGATGAAGCTCATCGAAGTGGGAGAGGATTCAGGCTTCTCAGGCTTGACCTTTGTTTCTTCTTTTTGCCAACACGCAATATTGCCGCAGTATTTGGTGATTGAACAGTCGGCACAAGATCATCATTGTGACAGTATCACCAATATTGCGAAATGGCTGACGTGTTCGTCTCGAAACACCCACCGATAAGCAAGTCAATAAACGATATGATAACAGCTGAACCCAATCAATAGGATCATGGTGATTACAGGGATATATGACGTCGATCCGGGGAATTGGTTGATAAAATTAGTGGCGCCGTATGCTCCGCGGAGATGGTCATATCAGTTTGCGGCGTCGGGATCACATCCGTCGACACAACATAAGCTTACACAACACCATATAAACAGCACGGAACTCCGGCCGAAGTATACTGTACGTTCGAGAATTTCGGCTTACAGTGCAGTCGAATATTGCAAGTAATATTGATTGATCAGGTCGTGTGACTGTGTTTGATAGACCTCCAATTCGCAATTTAACCTTCTAGAACAAAATCACGGTTCTAGAGCATGACTCCCGGGATCCATACGCCGTGTATTGAGCAGGTGACCGGCAAACCACCCCTGAGCCAATTAACCAACCCTTGGAGGACCAAAAGGTACTCATGCAAATCAAAGTCGCACAAGAGTAACGTCAATCATTGTTGGCGGCGTGAAGTCCCAGCCGTGGACTGTTTCGACTGTCTTCTAGACTGGTTCGCAATGAATAACATCAGTGATATTTGTATTGAATAAAGTAAAAATATCCCAAGGAACTCGGAAAAAGTCTTCACGCATCCAATATCGTTCATGCTTCTGCCTTAGCAATGATAACCATGACAGTACCGCACACTAGGGGAAGTTATCCGCCACGATGGAGAGCTCTCGAAAAGCATAGCATATGTAGCAGAAGATCGTTTCGTTTCGTTTCATTTCATTTCGTTTGCGAGTCTGGTGACCAACAAGGGCTTCTTTGCCATCCCGCGACGCCGCTATCAGTTGCACGAACAAATAGGCAGCTTGATGTTAGACGTGTTGTCAAGTTGATGAGAAATGGATTCGGGTTGAAAAATTTTGACTGGAGAGTCGTGGTACTGCCTGGATACTTTTACCTAATTTGAACGCTACTTCGGCACTTCTTCAACCACCTCCACTTCTATCGTGGGCAGCTTTCTGCCCTGGTCTTGTCTTTTTCGGGGTTGAATACCACCAAATGTCTGGCCGCCGGCCAACTGGGGTATCCAGTTCCAAAGAAGAAAGAGACCAAGACCTGGATCATGGACCTGAACCCGAACCTCAATCTAGTAGCGGGAGCGTGCGTTCCTAGCCGGTTCGCTCCCACGGGGATGCGAAGATCTGTTTCGTTCGTAGAGGGCAGGCAGGTCAAGTCATGGATCGTTTGCTGGCCTCTCAGTAGCACCGGTGTACTGTTCCTCTGCTGGTTGGTACGACCGGCTGCCCGCTTAGATTGCTTAATACTCTAATAAGGTCGATCACGGGCAGAGCCTCAGAGTGATCTTAACGGGCTTGGCAATGGCTGGTGACATTGTGGGTTGATCGTTCATGATTGTGAAGGTGGAAGAAGGTTAGAGAAGAGGTTGAGAAATTGAGGGAACGTTTGTAAGTCGATAGATTAGATAGGTGTATTCCGAAGTGAAAAACAACTGCCATTTACGGATAATATTGCTGGGACTGATAACTAATAAGCGCCTGCCCTATCAAAGTTCGGCCTGTCGGTGACAAGCTGAAAGTGCCAGAAGTGACCTGTCCAATATGCGAGCTCGATACTTCAGCTCGCGCGTCAACCTATAACTAACTGCCTGGTGTATTCCGTGCCTAGACAGAGAGCATTAGCTAGACCATCCTCCTCTTCTACCAACTTATGCTAGTATGCCTCGGCTGCAACGCAGTCACCATCATCAAATGAGGAGGAGTGAGGAGTGAGGAGTGAGGAGTGATGAGGTACATGAGACATCAGCTCCCCTCTCCGACCTGATGTTGGATTCATGATAGTGTGGAGGAGGTAGTATCGCGCCATACGTGCCAATCGTGGGGGAATCACTGCGCCGCAGAGGCCAAAAATGGAGAGGTCAATTTCGTGATGGACTTGTCTGCTTAATCTGCGCCGTACTGTTGGGTGATGAGGGGTTGATTTAGCAAAACAGGTACTAGACCAGGTCAATATTAAGGGACGGACCAGCCGTGGTCTTGTGATGCATTCATCAGGCTAACATGAACCGAAAAGGAGAAAGCAAATTACTCTAATTCTCTATCTATATGTCCCGACAACAACGTTGTAGATGGAATCGAGTAAAAGCTATGTAATGGGAATGAGGACCGGCGCCTATTGGCGAATGATGGTGTTGGGGTATGGCCGATTCCGCAATCTGGAACCTGGAGCATCCCCGTCGTCTGTCAAATTGTCTCTCTTGTCATGACATGGGTGGCACTGCATTTGTCTGGTTTGGTTGTTGGACCTGGACCTGGAACTGGAATTCCTCCTTGTTGGACACCGACACCTTCATGGTTAAAATGACATTTCAACTCGACGACAGATATGCAAGAGCTGCCAAGATGTTACCCAGATCGGCCGGTCACGAGTCGAGTCGAGTCCCCTACTCACTTATTATGCAGGGAAATATTAACCTACACCTATCCGACGGTAGGCTGACTTCATGGCTGATACAAACATGGGGCGCTAAACAAGCTTCCATGTCAGTTGACTCCGAGACACCGACCTGGAGATATCAATACATCAGTGAGTTCTGGGCGATAAGCCCAGCGCCGTGGATCGCCGATTCAGAGACAAGCTTGAACTATTCTTGGTGTGATTGGCCACCCCCGGACTTTCAATCTGTGCTGGGTTTGGTCCACGAGAGGGTCTTGTTTGGAGTTTTTAACATTTACGAAGTGGGAGACCGAAAGGAAGATGAGCTTATTCACAGCCAGATGTGAGTGAAATGAGGCCCTCGATGGCATTGCCGGAGGGGCAAATGGGAACACGAGTTTCGGTGGCATTGCGTCCAAACCTTCGCCTTCTAACGACATCCAGCAGGCTCTCGAGAGGTCAGCTCGTGGTGTAAGATTGATAGCGATAGCCTGGAAACAAGGAGGCTCATACCACGAGCAATCAAATTTTGCCCCGATTGGTCCAAGATTGACCATCTTGGCCGATCCTCTATCCACCTTGACGGCTCCAGAAGCTTTTTCAAGGCGTAGCCGGCCGATTTGAATTTTTCCTCCCCTTGGTGACCCTGTTGCCGTGCGCGTCCGGCATTGGCTCCAGCTTTCATATTGGGTGGTGAGTTAACGTAACGCCTCTGAATTCCCGGAAACCATTATTTCCATCGTCATGAGGGTAAGGTAACTTGTACTTGGGTGGTCTGTTTTGACGTCTGTAAATGGCCCACCGAATAACTGCGTCCAACTACCATGGATGGGAGTGCAGCCCTGGTGCAGGGGCGCCTGTAGGCGTCACCTGGGGTCGAAAAGGCAACATCAGGTCTCTTTATCTTTCGTATCTTGCCCTGTCCTGAGTAAGGGAGGAAAATCTCTTCATTTAAAAGGACGGTCAAGAGTTAAACCCGTTTCATCCGGAGAGGTACTTGGTAGAAGTACTGATAAGAAGAATTCGGAGTGGTTCCGTCTAGGTTCAACAAGGTTAGAGGAGAGGCAAGGCGAGACAGGTGACTTGCTGACCGAAATCCTAATGGACAAAAAGGGCAACTGTTAATGTACTCCCGTCATGTCATGATACCTGTGTCTTGGCTTGGGTCGAACCGTCCACAGAGGTACCTGGATATTGCAGGGTACTTCTGTAGTGACGTTGAATTAAAGATGGCGTTTCTTTTCAATTCTCTTATCAGTCGGTCGAGTCGGTTTCTGCTTGCCGGGTCCGGGTGTGGTTATGGAACTTCTGGTCACTTTTAATTCCCATTGTGACGATGAATCCGGTCTTTGTTATCGCCTGGCGCTCCCCCTCTATCCTCCTGCTTCCTCTAGCTTTCTATTATCGAACAAGCCAAGTTGGCGAGCATCCATCCCCAGTTTCCAACCCGCAATCTTGAATCTTGTTCCCCATTTCCCCATTCTTTCCATCCTGTTCTACTGCGCTTCTGTACGCATAGTCAGCCCTGACACCCTATTTGTGTAAGCTCTTGAGTGTTGTTGTTATTGCGATACCCCGCCAAATCAGGAACCGTCCTTGAATGAGACAAAAGTTAAATACCCGCAGGATGAATGATAAGGAACCTTAGACAGGCGCACAATTTCATTCGCTGCCTTATGGTACGGGGTTAATCGTCACGCAGACAAACTGAACTGTAGCTTATACACACTTGCTGCCAAGCTTGAACTAATACTTAAATAAAAGTTGAGGGTAGATTTTCCTGTACAAGTTAATAAGTGGTCAGCTTAGCTTAGACCCCTCATTCATCGTCAAGGTTGTTCTCGATCCCTTCATTCTTTTCGAGCTACTTGCAGCTTTTGTCTTGGCCCTCTCTAGCTACAACCTTTTTGGACTTCATCGACGCCATCATATTTTTGGAGTCGGCCCCAGATCGTACCCACGAGGGCCTTTGTGTGTGGCTTCATTCAGTGATACCCATACCTGTACCCACCGACTGAGTGTGAGTGTGAGGTTAGTTTCAAGGACTCGGCGCTATCTCTACACCTTGGTTGTGATGTCGCATACACCCCCTCGCTATCAACCTGCAACCGCACGCCATAAACCGACACCACCCATACCGTACCATACCTTACCTTACCATCCATACCTACATTTGAATACCTTACATAGGTATAGGTTCTGCTCCTGCTTGGATTTGCTACGCTGCCTTACTTACACACACCGACCGAAGTCGCTCACAGCAGCCGACCTATCTTATACTTGTGCAGAGCCCAGCTCTCGTGTCTATTCGTGAACGACGACTTGACCATATATCTCCTGCAGGAGATCGACCTTGACCGGTGCAACGGAAACCCCTTGTTACAGCTGCAAGTCGAATCATCCTCTCAACTCAACCCATCTCAATTTGACTTCATCATCTGAGTTCTCGGCTCTCTTCGAACCCTTTTGAAGCTGCGTCGTCGCTTACAGGACCCTGAAAGCACCACGCTAGAACCTTTTCCAATTCCACCTTCACCCACAATCGCACATTGGGTCAGGGTTGTTTGTTGGATTACCATTTCCTTACCTATTTAAATCCACCTAGGAACTGGGGCGCACACACTGCACTGCACGCTGAGCGCAAGCCTGGCCTGGCGCAAACGCCGCGACGGAGCATCGTGACCTCTTTTTTATTTCTTTTACTGGGGTTTCGAGTTTACTAGTCGACAGTCGCTTTGTTGTGTCCTGTCTAGGTTTCTCTATATTTTCCTCCCCCTCTTCTCTCTCTTCTCGACTTTCCTCACGATCTCCTACTTCTCCGTCCTCAGCTTCGAGCAGACCACCGCCAATAAACACCCTGCTGTCTGCTGGTGGTTTGGCTTCCGCACCCGCATTGGGCTCACCCTCTGATCCACCACCACACTTGAGTTTTTACGTACAGACCGTCGCCTGTACCTTTCAACTTTGCCTTTCACTTGGTGGTCATATCCTGTTTTGCCTCCCAAGCCGGCATCCCGTGGGCCACCCCCGACTTAATACCGGCTCTGGCTCTGTTCCGACCCGGCTAATAAAGGTCTTCCTGTCTCCGCTCCGTGGCCGGTGGCTACAGCCCTCGAGTCAAGTTCCGATAGCGACGTGATATTTTCTTTTTCTTCCCACTCACACAGAGAGTGCATCAGCGCACTGCTATAGCATGCCCGCTCAACTAAACGGGTCCATGACCGCCAGCATCCCCATTCGAATACCCGGCGACCAGGTCCAGGCTCAGGCTCAACCTGCTGTTTTTTACAAGCAGCACAAGCACTCCAGATCTTCTTATTCCGATTCTTCTCCGCTCGCAAATTCAAGGAACAATTCTTTAACTTTCCGTCCTTATAAGAGGCTCATGTCAAACCCAGACAAGACCATCGCTGTCATCAACGCCAGCGGGCGACAGGCTGCGTCTTTCATCCGCGTCGCCACAGCCGTTGGTTACCATGTGCGCGCTCAGTTGAGAAATCTCGACGGTGTCGTCGCTGCTGAAGTTTCGGGGAATCCCAATGTTACCGTATTTGTTGGCGAGCTCTACACAAGACATCAGCCCTCTGAAGCAAACCGTGATGTTACCAAGCACGGCCCGCTGGCCGGTGTCGGCGTCAACTACGACTTGATCGCAAGTCTGTTCCGCGGCGCACAACTCGCCTTCATAAATACAACTTTTTACGGCGATGAGATTCAAATCGGAAAGGCCCTAGCCGACGCCGCTAAGCGCGCGGGAATTCAACACTACGTGTACTCGTCCATGCCCGATCATGGTGCTTACAACCCCGAATGGCCCTCATTACCCCTCTGGGCTGCCAAGCATGAGGTTGAGCAATATGTGCGCAAACTCAGAATACCAGCCACTTTTGTGTACACTGGCATCTACAACAACAATTTCACCTCCCTTCAGTATCCCCTTTTCTGCATGGATCTGCAAAAGGACGGCTCGTTCAAATGGCAAGCACCTTTCCATCCCGACGCCAAGCTACCCTGGTTAGATGCCGAGCATGATGTTGGTCCCGCGGTCCTGCAGATCTTCAAGGATGGACCAAGCAAATGGAACGGAGAGCGCATTGCACTTGCATACGAATACTTGACACCCAAGGAGGTGTGCCGACTCTTCTCTAAAGGAGTCGGCCGTCCTGTGCGCTATGTGAGAGGCCCCATTGAAATCAAGGTTCGAATCCCTGAAGGCTACCGGGAACAGCTCGTCGGTCTTGAGAAACTGTTCGACCCGAATCAGAAAGATCCTCGAAAGCAACCACCTTACTTTGGTGACCCCAAGGTCGAAGTCAGCTGCCCAAGTGAAGCCTTGGAGTTGTGGGAAGGCCCTCGAGGTATCGAAGAATACGCACGTGAGATGTTCCCCATAGAAGAGGAAGCAAATGGTCTCACATGGATGCTGGATGATGATGCGAGTGACGATGAGGAGGTGCACAATACAGCAAACCATGTCGAGCAACTGAGAATCCACGACGGTGACGATGATAGCGACGACGATAATGACGACGGCCTTGTCATAAAAGGTCGCAAGCGGGACGAGGAAGAGTGGTTAGCATAATGGAAACCCATGGCGTCTGGATCTTGGCTAAAATACGACATCAAAAGCAGGAAAGGGGTTAAAAAAGAAGAGTTAGTCCATCGGAGACTAGAAGCCCAGTGCTGAGGCGATTACGGAACGGAGCAGACCTGGCGACGCGGCATTGCATTTCGGCAGGAGTTGTGTTTTTGGAGAGGCGTCTCTACTGGCGTAGGTTTGGTCCAGGAAACTAAACGATTTTATTATGACTTGTCAATGGATGAAATAAAAGTAACGAATTACCTTTGCCCTCGATTTGTTATGTCTTTAGCCTGTGATGTGTGTTGAAAGGTGGCAGTCATTTGTAGATGATGCTCGTGCAAGCTCCGCGAGACCGAGATCCGATACCAGCAGACTGGTTCGTTACCTCTTGCTTGAAGGCCACCATCAATCTAAATGACTGGTGCTTGGCTCAAATGTCTGACTGTTCTTAAGTAAGACACACCCAACAACGAGCTGGCAAAAGAGTGCGTGTCGATAGAATATAGTATACAAAGTGAGCCTGGAAGACGGATGGCTGCCTCAATGGGGCTGAAATGAAATGGGGAACTCAGCTGCTTCTTATATACGATTATCTTAGAGCCAGGACTAATGGATTAATAAACGGCCACCTCGTCATGCATAACACCACTAGGTTTATCTGGGCCCTTACATCAAGATGCTGGTTTGTCATAACAAGGTTTAACAGTATATCATCGCAACACCATTTACCACCCCCGCGTATCCGCCCTCCGTACCGTTGAACGTGGCTCCCATGTAAGATCGCGTGGGGTTATGTTTGTTCTCGAGAGACTTGCTTGATAGATGGCCATCATACGTGGTTCTTCTATGCTTTCTTGGTGAAGTTCAGATCATATGGCAAGAATCACACAAGGACGAGAATTGCTACAGTAACTACCCCGGAATCAAAGACTCGCCAAGATTATCGCCACAGCGGTCGAGTTGCACGCCGCGTGGGGGAGAAATCCGGGGTGACAAGGGGATGAACTCTCCGTTATCTAGCATGATTAGGGGCAATGCAGGAGAGGGTGGTCAGGGTGTTTATCTGTTATGCCTCTCCTTATCTATCAGGACTCTAGGTCCAAGATCAAACGAAGATCTTCAACAACGAGACAATGAGAGCCAGCTTTTTGTGAATTAAAGAATAACCAACAGCGAGCTCCATTCTGTGCATATTGAGCAAGTATGGCAGAGATCAACCCAAAGAATTGTTCTATCTGCTCTAAATCATGACCCTAGGTGCTCGGACGCTGGGATATCACATGCCTCAACTGCAACTGATAAGATACACAACTTGGTACAGTATTTCCTGTCAAGGCCGCGGAGTCGAGCCGGATATCCAGAAGCTTAAAAGACATTCAAGGCTTGATCATAAGTGCCCTCGGTCGTTGAAGGCTAATCGAGCCTCTATGATATTGCTTAGGCGAGAAGATTACTGCAGTGAATGTTGCAATACTCTTTGCCACCGACATATTTCGAAACATATTTCGAATATCAGGGATATTGATCCTTGCTGGCTATCCACGATAAGGAGACTACTGTTCTTTTTGAATCAGGCTAGGGGAGGAAAGAAAACTCAGGACCTTGATCCTAAATGACAAAAAGACTTTAGGTAAACTAGCATAAGTTTATGATATTTTTGCTAAATTTAGGATACAATTTATTAAGTTTATTTTGATATCCTTTATTCAAGTTCCATATTTTCTTCGATAATCTCGTCGGGATCAACTGGGTGATATACGTTTTGTTTATTGATATTGTCACGTTCTTGTTCGAATTTCTCTCCTTTTTCAGCGACCACTGATGGCCCGGGGGAATCGTTTGATCGCTCTCTCAGGGCCTAGAAGTTTGAACAGGAGCATATGGTGATCATATTGCTGGGCTTATTTGCACCTTTTCGGGGGGCCCGGGAGGATAAGGACTAACAACTTTAACAGAAAACATATATCGGTGATACCGTGCTAGAAGTACTAATAGAATCTGTCATCTTAAGTACAAATATTTATTTTACCATCGCTATTAATTGCTTAAGAAGTGTCTACCAAGAGTTGAGAGTTAGGTGATTATAGTAATCCCATAATCCAGGAAATAAACAGGGATATAGAATCATAGAATTTATAGACAAAGAATCAGGATCCTGTAGTCGGTAATTATATCTTTCAAGCAACTTACCAATAGGCCGCCGAAAATTCCACCGAGTTGTGCGATGTATTTGACAGGTATCTAACGTGGACTGTCGAACTGCCGGATAAAAAAGGCTGGGTTTTGCTAGGCGGTTAGCTAACAACTTTTATTATATTAATTGTACTCATCCCTGGTCTCCCGTTATCGCTCTCGTTGCTCGATATCCTCAGTAAGTATGAACAGCTGTTCCCCCTGGTTTGGTTGATTGTGGGAGATAGGTAGTTCTGCGAGGCATAGTGAAGCCTCTTTTAACCTCTCAACCTTATCACAGCCTCTTTCACAAGAGTAGTTCGGGGCTTTTTGTCCCAGTCTCGCAAAATTCCGGGACCACGACCCTAAAGAATGAAGTACTTGTAGAAATTGAGGATGAACTTAGGTAAATTTTGTATTAAATTAGGAGAGCTTTTTCTTAGTTACTTCTAATACCCTGGTGTGCCTTCAGTCATTCCCTTTATGGCAGACGTCGTGAAGAGCATCCTGGGAAGATCCAATCTCCAACCAATTGATCTTCTTGACCTTCCAATTGTCGATGAAAGCTTTTGTTTCCGGGGTTTCTACCTCGATGTTGTACTCAAGAACGGCACATACCTGGTCGAGGGTGTTTATGTTGGTTCCAGTCTGGGGTACAAAGGGTACCTTGGGATCTCCGGTTGTGTCGCCTTTCACCAAAGGTTCTCATTGAGAAATTATAAGTACCTGCCAAGAGATGTTAAGTGTCACCATTATAGTGTAGCCTGCAAAGACTATGTCACTCCACACTTCCGAATAGTCTCACTATTTGAAGTGATCCGTGGCAACGCGCTTGCAACAATTCTCGCTGAGCAAGTGCTTATGATATACCTCTCAACAGTGGCACGGGCATACCCCAATCAGCTGAATCTCTTTAACGAAAGCAGGAATGGAATCCAAGATCTTCCTGACTTCAGTGACATCGGTCTGAACAGGGCCCTACCCTTAGCCCAAAATCAACATTGGTTACCTTGCAATAGGATCATTTATCAAGGATGGTTGAATGGGAAAAACCAAGAGGACCAAGTTTTAAATGTGGCCGCCCATTCACCAATCTGCCAGATGAAAAGAGATGGAAAGGCTTTTTCGAAGCGAGACGTTGCGCTGCCTGTTGGCTCCGTTGATATAAGCACAAGGAGAACTGCCCCGATCTCATTACTGACGCAAGGATGCACGAGGTCTTGGGTTGGCTGGGGCAACCCTGATGTATGTGGGAATCCTCCAGCATGCGAAGAGCCAAGAACTCCTGCAAATATGCGCAAATTTCATTTTTGGGGTCAGGATATGCGATGCGCAGGTTTACCTGCATCTAAGAACTCACGGCAGCGATAACAATAGCCCGAAATATGGGCAGACGGCGGCGGGTCATCGCAAGTGGGTAGAGAAGGGGCACGACGATGTCTATGGAACATGTCGTGTACCTAGTCCGATTGATAGCCACCTCGTTGGAGGGAAAGGCTGGAAGGCAGCATCTAAATGCCCGGCCTGCGCTCGCAAGCCAACCAAGAAAGAAGATGAGGAGTGGATGGAGCTGTATGGGGATATCAGCGCAATATGTGGTGTAGACCGCGAGTATACCATTTCCATAATGCGCCGCACGGAGAAGAGGGCTTGTGCTCTCCTCCAAACCAGGAAAAAAAGGGATAAAACATCTGACGAGGTCGATGAAGGCGCCTCCCAAGACTAGAGCCGATATAATCCTTTCACATTAGCGTCTTCTAGACACGCAAATAAACTATTCCCTCCTCCCCCCCTTTCTCACGATCTTGGCAGATGCAGGTGTTTCAGGCAGCAGGTCGCTATCTTTAAAAGACCGATGCAGATGAATGGCCTGCCCTTGAGCTTTTCGAGTCCAAGAACGTGAATACCCCAGGGACGGCCCGTTCATTGAAGAATAGGAAAGGACTTGAAGAAACCGATAGTAGGCATGTTAGAGGATAATGAAGCTTCTATAATGCCAGGGGAAAACGTAAGAGGGCATAGCAAGAGTACTCCGTAAAGTACCTCTTCTTGCGGGAAGAGGTAGTCAAACGATGCAGTCTTCAAAGCCCGATGGGTCAGAGACGGTAGTTGCCACGTGAGAAGTTGGAAGTATACGACATGACTCTTCCTTTTCAATTAATGGTAAGGTAGGGACGGCCGATCTTCTTCTTGTTCAGTCGTTCAGAGACAGCAACGATCATGTCCTTGAAGGCGTCGAACTCGTCGCTGATGAGGTTGCATTTGATAGTGCGATTGTTAACCCGGAGGTCTTGAGGAATATAGAGAGGGTTTGCAGTTCCATCACGTGCAAACCGGACAATTCTCATGCGCGCAAGCGCGATGATAAGTTCAGTGTTGTACTTATGAACCCGGGTCCTCTCATGCTTGTCCCAGTTTGTGATCGCCAGCTCAACAGCTTCATCCTTGGACATTCCAGTATTGAATCGGACAAACTCCGAACTGACGGTCGAGCCGCCCTCATCTTTCCAGGAAATCTTAAAGTCTTTGCCCTCCGAGTTGGGCTCAAACTTGACACTCATGTAGGCTGGGCAATTTGCCATTCGTTGAGGATTTGTCTGGAAATTTTGTCCTCGCTTCCGTTTTGCTGGCGTGACTGGTAAATTCTCGGTGAAGTACCCGGTGGCTACAGACGTTTCTTGAAGTTTCTTGGCGCTCAAGACAGGCATCATGATCATGCTGTCATCCGAGTCCCAGGCAAAGAATACCTTTTCAAAGAAAGACTCTCGCATTGGATCCGTGATGGCCTGGGCGTTTATTCCAGAAAGAGGTCGAGCATTGCACCACTCGTGCAGGAGGTCATGGAAGCTGTATCTTTCCTGCTCGGAGAGTTCTCCCGCTCCAAAAATAGTGGCGTTGGCCGCACGGTTGGCAGCTCGTTCTTCGGATATGATGATAAGTGTTTCCTGAGTCCAACCGTTAGTCAAAGACTCGTATGAGTTAATAGGGTTGTAGACTTACCGAGATGCTTTGAAGAGTTCTTGTTTGAATGTTCACGAGACGGAATCCATAGGATGTGAGAGCAGATGGTTACGTTCAAGTTTTTCTGTTTCAGAATTATCGTAATTAAAACCAAGTTGAGCGAGCGCTTGCTATTGTTGAAATGATTTCTATTGTTGAAATGATTTCTATTGTCGAAATGATTTCTATTGTCGAGTGATGTTCGAGAAGAACAATAAAATAAACGTGGGACCAGTTGACCATGATGAGCTCTTGTGTAACACGCTAGACACACTGATTCAACGTCCCTTAAAGGCGGCAGTGCCACGGAGCTTCGATATAAACTATAGTGATTCCATGGTTATATTCACCTTGGTTCGTTTCGGCCACCAAGGTCAGTCATTTCCGCGGTGAGTAAATGCAGATTAACTAGTATGAGGTTGGGGCACACGAAACACGAAACAGGAAACGCACTTGTGGCACAGCTCATATCGAAACTTGGAATACGCTACTGCATTGTGCCGACGAAAAGTTCATTCTCTATTGCATTTATTCACGTTTCATATCCGTCTGAACAATCAACATAAGACCAATATGTCAAGAAACAACGCTAGACCACTTCCACCGAGAAGGCGACCCCGACAAGAGCGCTCAGACAATGTCACTGGGTTATCGGCAGCTCAAGAGAACCTCAAAGACAAGAGTAGCAAGGCCAATGAACAAGAAGTGGATTCAGTGGTTGATCTCAACCAGATAATTGAGGAAATCATTGACTTAAGTGATACTGCAACAGAACAAGGTGTGGATCCCGATGAGGGTAAGGAGGAGGAAGACAACATCGACTGGGTCACTCGACTCAGGATCAGCAAGCAAAAGCCTCCAAAGGACCTGAGTCCATTCATGCCTAATGGCCAAATTGCAATCAATGCTGCTAATGTTTAAAAATTCAACAATAAATGCACCAGTGTCACAACCAACCCCAAAGCTTTCGCAGACCAGCAAGACCTACAAGCCGGAATCACTTTCGCGGATCGAGCAATGACTCAAGTAGTCATTGAAGTATTCCAAAGACTTGAAGTCTAAGATCTCACGAACGCATTCCCGAGAAATGTCCCTGATGTGGTGAAAACCATACTTAGCCTTGAGGAACTCCTGCCTACAGATCTTCTCTACCTTCCCCTCGTTGATAGTAGCTTTCGACTATGGGGTGTATACGTTGATATTGCAATGAATGCTGACACCGATCAAGTGAAATGAGTATATGTCGGTTCAAGTGTTGCATATAAATCCTATATTGGCATCCAAGAACGCGTCAGGCATCACGAACGACAAGCTCAGAGAGACTACAATGAACTACCTGAGAACAAAAGATCAAGGCATTAGCAAGCAATATGCCGTGATGTCGAACCAAACTTCCGGGTTTTATCCCTTTTCGAAGTAACACCTGACAACAATATGGTCACAACTACCGCAGAACAGGTCATGGTATTGTTCTTGGGAATCATGCCATCTGCTAACCCTGTGCAAAAGCAGTTTTCATGTGATCTTCGCACATTGACACCTGAACTCCCAGACCTTGGAGAAGTAGGACTCCACCGTGCCCTACCTTTGGCTCAAAGCCAACACTGGATGCCGACTTCACAAAAACTCTTTGTTGAATGGCTGAAGGAGACGAAACAATTGAGCCAATGTTTCAATTGTGGACGCCCTGGTGCAGGGTATTGGGCATTTGGGTTGTATGACCTTGACTCTTGCTAGAAAAGTTGTTTAGTATATCGAAGAGCTCACTAAGGGTCTAATCCAAAACAGGGGATAGATACTACCAGCAATAGGTTACTTGGAGGCTAGGTCTACGGTGACTTGTCCATAATGAAGATTAGTAACATGACTCTGAGCACCACCTGTTCTCTGAACTTCATGCCAGCTATTGATGTGGCATAATGTTGAATTGGGTCTTTCTTTTGGCAGAATAAAGAGTGAAGTATTGGATGGCATGAGCTTCACACTTGCAGAGAAGCCTCAGGTAGTCAGAAGATTCAAGACTGTCCATCAATATTAACAGCCAATTGGTCAAAGATTCTACCTAATTTACCATGACTCTTCCAAAATGTACTAAACTTACCTAAAAGTTTTCATTACTTAGGATTCAATCCTAAGTTCTCTGCCGTTCCTTAGACTAGTACAAGCGGGGATATCTCACACCTCACGTTGTAAACAGAGCTGGTACTCAGCAGTTACTGCGACACATTACAAGAAACCAATACCAAGTTGATTCATGGATGTATACTATAGCCTTGATAACATGAAAAATACCTCAAACTAATGTAATACAGCATCTGCGGGTTCCCCTCTGTCTGGTCTTACTCATCAACTCGCTTGCTCCCCAACGGAGCCTCCTCATCAGCAGTTGCACCAGCATGACCCTCAGGGAGGGCATTGAGATCATCCTCATGAATATCGAGGTCTTTAAATTGTAGCCAGAAGCATGTCCCGGCAATTACGGCGAGGATTGCGACGACGCCGTAGTTCCAGACAAGAAGAGGATCGGCTGCAAGACCAACAAGAGCCTGACCAAGGGCAGCTGAGAAAGCTGTCATGAAAAGAGCCACGGCCTGGACCATGGACCGCATGTTCTTGGGAGCCTTTGAGAAGGCATACTCAAGAGAAGTAATAGAAGCGAACACTTCAGAGAGAGCAATGAGAACATAACTGCCAGTTTGAGCCCAGACGTTGATGGGGGCTTCTGCACAGTCGTCACCTGAAGCATACATGCCACACTCGGACTTCTGGTAGATGTAGTGTTGGACAACTGCAGCCCAGATCATGGCAGCAGCTCCGGTGAAGAAACCGGCCGTGATCTTCTTGATAGGGGTGAAGCGGAAACCAGCTTTTCTGAGGGCAGGGTAAATGAAGAAATCATTAAGCGGGATAAAGATCAAAAGAGCGAAAGGATTGAGATTCGAAAGAATGTCGTTAGGGACGCCATGGCGCTGCATCACAGCCGCCTGGGAGATGAGGTTATTGTTGACTAGTAACTGTTAGTTCAGTTGTGCTTTGCGTGTAATCTTTCGACTTGATTGTGTATGTAAGAGTTCAGAGCAATCTGGTATACAGCAGGGGGTGAGGAAGGAAACATACTCTGATTGTAGCAAAGCCAGAAGATGGGATACCAGCAGAATACAGCGCAAGCGTTGAATCCTCGGCTGAGCTCATCGACCCAGGCGTCGTCAAAAGTCATCCACTTGGGACGGGTCTCATGGCTGAAGTTTGAGGGCTTAACTTTCTCCCAAAAGTCATCTCTATGAAGATTTCTCCATGTAGCAACTGGATTGATGCTCCAGCAACCCTTCTGGGCGAGAAACCAAGTCTTAAGTGCCTGTCCCAGGACAGAGCCGCCAGGAGGCCTTCGCTCATACTTGTTGCGGTTCAACCACATTACAAGCGGACACAGACAGAGCATGAACGTTGGCAGTGTATAAGATAGCCAGAAACCTATTTCCTTCTCCGCAAATACCATCTGCGTCGTGCGTTAGCATCAGTTGTGATATGCAAAATCTTGAACTTCAACACCAAGTCTCAACACCTCGCCTCAACACCACGCTTTAACAGCCTCAGTTTTGGGATAAAGAACGTAAAATACTCACAGTCACCTGGCCTACCAAAGCCCCTACGTTTATACAGAAATAAAACCAGCTTTTGGCGTTAGTTTTGAAGTGTTTGTTGTGTTGGGAATACTCACAGATACACCCTTTCGATTGTCACAGCAGGGTCGACAATGACACGCTCCCCTGACTTGAGAGTCTTCACATGCATATACTGCTCGCCAAGCTGCTCAACAATAAGAGGATTGACGTTAGGTTTGAAACCGCCAGTACCGAAACCGATGACAATGATAGCAATGATCATGGCGCCTAGGGCGCCACCTTGGTTAGAAATGACAGGGGGGATTGCGGACATTATCAATATAATGTGCCCAATGATGTCAATTCCGAGAGCCCAGCTGATGGTTTTATAACGGCCCCAATACTGGTCAGCAATATAGGCACCGAGAAGGGGCATAAAGTATTGCCAGAACTGGTTGAAGGTGGTGATTCCGGTCGAGGCGCGCTGTCCCATATCGAGAGCACCAGGCTGTTTTGGGTCAGCTCCAGTGGTAGAGCCATCGGGGAGCTTATGCTGAATGAAATTGGTGACTTTCTGAGTTAGTATGACTGAACTTATGTTATCGAGGCTGAGTGAGAACTTACAAACAACGGTACAACCATAATAAGAGAAGCGCTCGCACAACTCCACAAAAGCAATACTGAACAGCTTCATGGGAATCTTGTTTGGGACTCGGCGCAAAGTGCCTAATTCCTCAGCAGTCGGAAACTGGCCATCTGGTGTGACACTACCAGCGGGGGCAACAGCTCCCGCATCTGCAGTGGCTGGACGAGGGTCGGTGACGATAGAGGCTCTCTTCTCGGCAGAGATAGAAGCTCGCTTCTCGTCAAGGACCTCAGCTCGGAGACCGGCCACAGTTATGGGCTCGGCGAGACTGTCTCCTGCAGGCGCCATGGTTGTAAGTGTGTGGATCTTTGGGTCCGCAGAAATGAGACAAGATAGAGGTCAATACCACAGCACTCTGCCAGATACGAGCCAGAGAATTCTGTCACGGGGAGAGACGTTTTATATCTTTTGGGGTGTCGGACAATGCTACCATAATGGACCTTGTACACCGGATAGCACCGAGTACGATCGGCATCGAATAAGAAGCCAGAGGGGGGCAATTGGACAAAGCCAAGACGCCAGATCTGACGAGAAAACGCGAGATATGCATTTTGAAAGTCAGGAGGACGTATCAACTGCAAGGATACAGAGAAAGAAGAAGGTGGTAATTGCTACCTACTATAAAAGGCTTGATACCAGGAGCCTCACGACAAGGGTGGATTCCTTCTCATCCTGCCAAGATATCTCATGCAGTTTGATAGTCGATACAGGATTTTACGGTCATCAAGGAAGCGATGTGCATACTGTTGGTTGGGCATCTTATACAGAGTAACTACCACTGTATGTACAATCTAAACGCTCCATGTTAGGATGAGGTTGAACTTTTGCAGTATACTAGTCTTACATTTACTTGGCAAGGACAAAAAAGTTCTTAGTAGCGTTCTTTAGCTTGCCAATGCAAGCCAATGTTCGGGAAATTTATTTCTGCATCTGGGCGGTACGGTCTGTGTGAGACTTGAGAACGCCACCTAGGTATGGACACAGGCTAACATTTTGAAGCTCTACAGATGTGATATTGCATCAATGTACTCACAAAGAGTTTTGCGACCTTCACCTCGGGTCGTGAGAATTTTTTTGTTAAGGACCAGAGTATCGACGTGTTGATGACTTCGACTTGGCAAACCGTATAGTCCTTATCTGTGGGATCCAAGTTAGGATATGACTCCGACAATGCGACACAGAGGTTACGGAGCTAAACTCAGTATGCATCTGAGGCAGTCAAAATGTTCCTGATTAGCCAGTCTGCAGCCGTCCCGTGATAACGAGGATGCCAAGACAGACACTGGGGGGGCTAGGTGCTGGTGGTTGATACTCGATCTTGGCATAAGAAGATCCATGGAACGTTAAGAACTTTTGTAAGTCTGGGCATGATAAATGGGGAATAGATAAGTAAGGGATGGCATTGGATTCCCGTGTTGCAGTCGGTTTAAGGTTGTGTGGTCGGCCATGATAAGGGCTCGTACCAATGGGATACGAAAATTGGTCCAGGGCATAGTACTGTACTACGACTTATACCCAAATGATTTACTAGTCGATGGTCCTTTTTGGCTTCATGCTACCAGGTGGTGACAGAACCTTCCTCAAAGGCTCGAAGGACCATTGTACCTAGGCTTGTATCGTTGGATCAAGATATACCTGGACATACTCCGTATACAATGTCATTTGCTTGCCGGTCCCCAAGGACATCTACCGTATTATCTACCAGACCACCACACAAGACCATCCCCAGCTCTCTGTTCTGTAGACTGCCACCTTCCTATTCCCGCCTAACCGCCCCGCACTGCGATAATCCTTGAAAGCAGCTTAATTTAAGCTTCTTTCAACGAGCAATCACCCGCAGCAATTCGATTGGACAGCATCAGTAAACTCACCCATACAGAACTTTCTGATTGCCAAGTCGCCGCTTCTGACAACATGATTAGAGAGACAGCCTGGAGTAGAACTTTGTTTAACAAGTGTAATTTCCTCAATATGGCAGTTGTGATATAGAAAATATGCTAAAGCGGATATCATCGGATAATTGATGCATCGACAGCCTGATTATGTGATAACACAACAGCGGTTGGTCCTGGCAGCTTCGTCGCAGGTACATCACTCTCGAATTATGGCAAGTATCACGAGCCCCATACTTCTGAATAATGCCAGATTCAGTAGTCAGAAGTGGATGTACTAGATGGCACATCTCTTTTGTATGGTCCCTGGTATGCTCCTTGAAGAATGATCCCATGAAATCAGTGGTTTCAAGCTTCCAGCACACGGTGGCTGCCTACCGTTTTCTCGACCTGTTTGTGCCCAAAGAGGTCTGATTTACCCAATACTTCATGCTTCGAAGGCTGTTGACGCTTCTTCAGGGATCTTACGTTTTGACCATCAAAAAATTGACATGTCGTTTTGCATCAACGACATGATCTCTGTGTCGGAGTCTAGCCGTAAGGTGTTTTCTGTTCCTCTTCTTTTTCGGTGGTAACCGATAAGTCTGACGTTAGATATAGTCTTAATGCCATCGCAGAATTTGAACTTAGGGACAAACAGCAAGTACACAATTCGCATTACCGCACAGCAAGTCCCGGACTCATAGAGTCAACCAGAAGGCTGTTCTTGGGCTATAATTCCAAGTCAAGACAAGGTGAGATGTGGCATCAAGTGTACATCTATGTATCTGTACAAAGCCAACATGTTGTGGAAATTATTGGCAATGATTCAAGTGATCACTTCCTGCCTCGGAGTTCTGTTGACGCAGACTATTCTACCTGAGGATGGCACGATGAACTGGATGGGGTTACCGATCGACGGACTCTTCAATGGCCCAGAAAGCGACTTCATATGGTGAATAACGAAGAAGAAGAGTTTGTACGCCCAAACAGCAATACAGCAACGGATAACGGGCCACCAGACTCCGCCACTTTGTTGCCAAGCCTTCAATGGCCATATCGCAGTCCACAGCCAGATACCATGTGACAAAGAAGTCAAACACTCTACTCAAAACGGGTGTCTTCTTTTGATAGTACCAAACAATAGGCGAGCCTGAACGACTTAGCCGACAATCTTGTTTTACCCATGGCTACCTATGGTCCCAAATCCAGCAACCTATTCAACGACTTGAAACTCTGAACATCGCGAAGGTCTTCTCTCCAACGTTCTTTAGGTCGTGCAAGGGATTTTTGGAAGGCCAGGCATCAGCCAGTCGATCTTCCCAACCCACCATCCGCCGATGAAGCTTCTGTTTCTGGGGTACGTATAATCATACATTGATGTCATTATGAAAGATGATCAAGAGTGAGTGATGAGTTTTGCACTCATCATGCAGACACTTGCACAGCACTGTTGGTCGCATAATCGAGAATGATGTCTGAAACGATTTTAGGACCCTCACATGAATCCAATCTAACTGGTATCTTTCCGAGTAGATAGAAAAGTCTAATGATACAGCCGTGACAAAAGCCCTTTTTGAATACCCAAGTCTATTGCATTTCTTTTAAGCTCCCGGATTGGTAAACACCGATTCCCTATGATCTGAAGGTCATCCGTTTCCACGGGACCTAAGCATTTCCTTACAGCTTGCCCTTGAGCAAGTTGTTGATCATCTCGCGACCAGTGATGCGAGTGGTATCCCAGAGGGTAGGGAAGTCGAGGGTGCTGGACAGGCCGTCGGCAAAGCCAAAGAAGAGCATGGGAGGGATCCAGCCTCGAGCGTACTCGAGCGCGAAGCAGCCCTCGGGCATCTTGTATTGCTTGACATCGCCGCGGCGAAGGTGGTGGATGCTGCCGGCGGGATACACCTCGGCCTTGTACTCGCCAGGGACGTAAGCCAGCTGAGTTCCAGAAAGGATGTGGAAGTAGTCGTCGGCGGTGTGGCGACCAGTGTGACCCTCGGTACCGATGGCAGTGCCTGTTTGACAGAATGTTAGCGATTGATACGCAATTGCAGCAGACAAACATACCAAAGATGATGAGGTACTCGGTAACACTGGCGTGGATGATGTACATGGCACCCATAGCACCACCAGCGTTGTTAAAGACCCATTCCTCCTTGAGATTGATATGCTCGGGAACCTTCTCGTTAAGCTCCGTGACGATGTACTGCACAACCGATCGGGTGTCCTCTCCGTGCTTAGCGATGGCTCGCTTAGATAGATCGTCGAGGTGATCGAGGTCGAAGATGTAGAACTGGTTCAGGTTCTGCTCGACAAAGTAGACGACAGAGCTCAGGAGAGCTGTGAGGAGACCGAGAACCAGGAGGAGCTTGTTGAGACCGCTGCCCTGCGACGCGGCCGTCGCAGAGGACTTTGACTTTGACTTGTTCTTTGCCATTGTGTTGACCGACCAAGTTGAACAAGTTGAAAGGAACAAGTCGTCGCAAATCAATCGCGTGAAGAAGGGGGCTATTAGTCCACAATTTCTGTTGAGTCCCGGAAATTAACTTAATAAGCCGTTCGGAGCTGGACCCTGGAGCCGCCCGGCCCCGGAATTAGCCCATCAACATCTTGACCGTTCCGCATCGCGTTTCCGACCGCAATTTTCTAACCATGTGAAATCTGTCTGCTAGCTCATAGCCTCGTTTTCGTATTTGTATTCGCGATTATAAATATCCCGAGCCTCGTCAAATATATAAATCTATTGGCTATCTTTGCAAACCATCAGAGAAAATAGCACTGCTTTTCCCCATTGTTCCTCACCGCAACCCCTGTGTATGCGTGGTTCTTTCAACGCCGTACAATTACACCTTAAAACTGGGGGAGAAATAGAAAAGAAAACCAACTCCAATCCCAATCCCAATCCCAACCCCGCCGCGATAGCTTCTGTAAATCGCTAAACATTCCTTCATGCCTTCCAAGTAGAATTACACATGCCGTCTTCTTCCTGTTGGTTTCTAATCCACGTCTGAATCTCCCATGACCTCTGTTCTATCGGCATCATCCACCTCTTCGTCGTCGTGAAGGACTGTCTGATCTTCAATCTCGGCATCGTCCATTGTGACGTCTCCCATGGTAATGTCGCCGGCCGTCATGTCTCCCACTGTGACATCCCCAAGTGTAACATCACCGTTAGCATCGCCATTCTGTTTATCCATTTCGTCATCCAGATCAAGATCTGCATCGTCCTCTTCCGGTTTCTTTGGTCTGGGTCGCTTGACTGGAGCAATGACACCAAGTTCCGATGATCGTGGCCCCCAACGAGCTAGGCGTCTTGTCGCCCGTTTCAAAGCCCCGGCGTAGGCACTAACTTCTTCGCCAAAGTCATCCTTCTCCTGTGTAAGAAGACAAAGACCGCCCACGCCCTTCTCTCTGAATGGCCCTGGAGTCTTATCTCCATATGTTAGGTTCCGAGGAGTTGAGGTTTCATCATCACTGTCTTCGAAAGGATCTTCTTGGACCTGTAGCCTTTGATAGGCTCTGAAAACGGCACCATCTTGTCGCCTGAGTTTTCGGCTCTTATGGTGTTGGCGGCGAAGACCACGGTCAAGAATATACTCAACCCTTTGGCTCCTATTTCGCTCAACAGCGAGTTGATGGGCTGTTGGTGGGCGGGGCTTTCTTGCAACAACACCCTCATTGACAGTATGTGCCGGAGATGAACCCTCGAAGATCTGATACTTGAGGGGTGCACCTCTGCGATTCGAGGCAAGACCGCGACCAAGCCCTCTAGGCGGAGGTGTTGATCGTGTACTATCCATATCAGACTCATGTTTGGAGGGCCTGATGCGGGGGAGGATGGCTGGACCCTCGTCAGCGAAAGATGGTCGCATTTTGCTTCGCTTGTTGTCTCTTTCATTGAGGAGAGCCTGGTCCATTTCAAGAATCTTCGCCCTCATCTTCTGTTTGGAGCGTCCAAACTCAATCTCTTCTTCGGTGTCTACGTTCTCTTTTGCTTTCTCTTCTGGGGTCATCTCCACGAGCTCAGGTACGCCCTGGTTTGCAACATCCAGCCCGTAGTCGACTCCAGGCCCGAAGGGGTTCTCCTCGCAGCCTTCTTCCGTAAAATCAGATTCAAGATAGAACCACATAAGCCAGAGGAATGCATTCGCTCTCGACTTGCTCGTGTATTCAGTCCTCATGATCAGGTCGTGGAGTTCTCGATGGCGAGGAAAGTGAAGCTCGGCGATTTTCTGAGCTGTGTTGCACATGACAAAGATAAGATTGACGGGATTTGTGCGAGGAGTATCCAACTGCTTAATTTTGTCGAGAGAGTTGGGCTCCTCTCGATCTTCTGCACCACCTTTTAGAATAGACTTAAGACGAGGTGCATCCTGAAGCTGCTTGTAGGCATGAGGATCCTGGCGAGCTTGAAGCGATGGGATGGCATGGTATGTACGGAGCTGAGCTCTCATCTCAGGAAAGACTGGAAACGTTAGGGGTGGTTTCAAGGGTGAGAAGATCGACCTTACAATTCAGAGTGGTATTCATTCGGCCCATGTTGACAAGAAGACACACCATAGCCATTCCTTTTGCGGCTTCTCTGTCACTTAGCAGTTTATCGCGAAGCACCTTGCTAGTCTTTGAGCTGCGGGACATTGTATCGATATACAGGTCGGCAAAGCATTGGCGCTGGAGTCGTTTGGGCTCATATGAGTTGGTAAAAACACATTGCTCGTTGTCGAACACGGCCTTGAGGAAGTCGTATTGAATGTCTTCTCTCCAAAGAGGCTCGCCATCTTCCTTCTTTAGATGGCGTATCTTGCCGATCGTCGGTTGATTCGCGGTGTCCTTACTTTGTGATGATTTCGTTTTACCGCGCGACGATTTTTCTTGAGGATCTGGAGTGGCATTGGCCATCTGAGTATCGTCGTCCTCGGTCATGGCTCGTGAGACAAAGGACTTGGCTTCGGGCTGGCCGGGTGAGCTGGGAGGATCAACCTCCGACGTCGCGGCAAGAGAGGCAGGAGACGCCATTGTAGGTGGTTGTGGCTTTTAACAAAAACGAGGGTATTCGCAAGGGGTCGCGAGAAATAGAGGTTCAAGTTCAAATCGTCTGGATTGATCAACGGCGCATCGCGAAAGGACAATTCGGCTAGACTATCAATGCTTGGCAGGGAGATGGAGGTGGGGATTGATTGATGATGACTGTGCCGAAGACCAGATTGCGCGCAGATTGTTTGCGGGTTGCGAATGCGACGGTGATGATAGCGTCAGTAGTGGTGTTTTTGAATAAAATAGAACGAGTCAAGGTTATGGAGTTTGTTGATACTTGAGGTTGGGAAGAAATGGAGATGGGAATGGAAGTAAGAAGGGGAGTTGCCAGTTCCTCTCCTCAGCCTTTTCCTTGTCTTGCGTTAGTTTGCCTGGGGCAGCAGAGACGCCCACGAGCCGGGAAGTTGCTGAGCGCGTCACGGTACATTACCACAGGAGCCCGTCGTACCTGATTCACGACTAGGGACTCCGTACTTTCCATGGGTCAGGTAGGTAGGGAGGTGTTCGGTGGAGCAAGGAGGCTGAAAGTGATGTGGCTTGAGCAATATTGTGGCGTTATTCTATCTTAAGCATGGTCCGTGCTGGTCGCGCTGCAACGACCCGAACTAATAAGCTGTAGCAGCGGCCTAGCATTGTGTTTTCTAGCAGGGGATTGTACTCCCTCATCTCTTTACATCAACAAATATCATACCAAAGAGAGCAACCAAGCTCACTACGGCTTCGGCCAGGACGACATACATACTAACCAACAGGGATATTGCCGACGGGATAGTCTCTTTTTTAAAGGTCCAAGGCATCGCAGAGAACTGGCCAGTCTTGCACAGCGTTCAAGAGACTGAAGGACATGCAAACAAACAGAACCAAATTCAAAATCACTATTGTCGACAGCAGTCCACGTCGTTTAAACTCCAGGCACCCAACATGGCCACTCCCGTCAAAACGACTACCATTGGCGGTCCTCCAGTAACCGACAGCCCAGGTACTTGGCGTCACCCACGACTCGACGAGATCGCCAGGCGTCGTAATGCGACGACCTTCTCCGAGAAGAATGTGCGCCAGATCGCCTATAATGTCATTGCGCTGCTAGGATTCTGCTGTTTGCAGCTCTTAGCTAAGCTCAACATTGGTTCTGAAGTGTGAGTTTTCGCGAACGCCTTTTGCGACCGACCAGTCGTTAACTCTAATCTTTAGTGTTCCTAGCTCTTTTAGGACATACTTGAGCTGGGCATGGTTCGTTCTCAACCTCGTACCATTCATCAACATTGGCATCGCGTGTCTGCCCTTGATTCGACCGAAAGATGATCTCTCCGATATCCCTCTGACACCTGCTCAGCGCAAGCTGCTGGGCCTTGACCCCTCCTCAACCGCCCCGACCCCCGATGCGAAGTTCAGCACACCTCCTCGATACTCACGCACACCTTCCATAGGTGGCTCTGTTGGAAGCCGAGGAAGCTATAGCAGCTCACCTCTTTCTGGGCGAGGAAGTCCTCTCGTACAGGGAATGGCTGGCTCACCGTTGGGCAGCCCTCTTTTCCAGAAGAGCGTCAACAGTTTCGGCAATGGAAGAAGGTCTTCTTTTGGATCAACGAGCCCATTTGCGGCTAGCTCTTCTTCCAACCTCTTCTCAGATCCTACTTCCCCTGGTTCCGCTGGGGGCAAGCGAACAAGTGTCGGGCTGAACAGCAAGTGGTTATACGAGAAGGGACGGCGACCATCAGGTAATGCCTGGAACTTGTGAATCAGAGCTGAATACTGAAGGGAGACATTTTGGACAAACATGTTTGTGATACAGGAAGGGCCCAAGCTATGTGAGCCTTGCTATTCGGCCAAGAGACATTGTGTTCAATGTACATGGAATATGTCTTGTTAGAAACCCATGTTGATATTCTCGTAACGGGTTCGCAGCGGGAGTCAGAAAACTCCTCAATAACAAAACTAATGATTTAAATGTACCGCCCAGCCAGTGATTTAAGAAGATCACTGTGGAGATACCAAACTGGGTATTCCATAGGCTCGGAACTATACGGTTGTCTTATGCTATGCGTAGGGAGGCGGATATTCTTGAGAATAGAGCATTTCTTATGCCTCTGCAGCGGCAATCGACCAGCAGAGGAATTGACAAACATCCCAGGCCAAATTCATTCAGTGCATTCCAATCTTGACGACAGGGCGGCCAATGAAAGCGTGAGCTTCTGACTTGGCCGCGATATCTTCTGCCTCCTCCATCGTGAGCAAAGTCAAATGACTGCGTATTCCGTGCTGAACTACAAATTCCATCATCTCTCTAGTCTCACTCATGCTACCATGGACTGTTCCCTTGACAAAAATCTCTCTCAAGATGAGATTCATGGGGTCGAATTTGAGACCATGCTCAGGAAAGCCAGCAGCGACTAATATTCCTCTTGGTTGCAACCGCTGAGCGGCCCAGTCACTGGCAGCATCATCGCTAGTGCATACAATGGTAGCTTTGAGACCAATTCCGTCGGTAAAGTCGGAGATCTTCTGAATAGTTTCTGGGTCATCAAGCTTGAGTACGAGATCCGGCTGGAGGTGAGAGGGAACTCCAGAAGCGAGCTTCAGACCAACCTCATGGCTGTCAATAGCTATCACCCTATAGCCTCGAGCCTTTGCAAATTGAATCCCAAAATCCCAAGGCCACCTATACCGATGATGCTAATGGTCTCGCCCTTTGTTGTATCGGCCTGGTTAATGGCGTGCCATACATTTGCCTGAGATTGGTTGTCAGTAGAGCACGGGCAATAGAAACACTTTCAAATCTGGGAAACACACCCCGGCACACATCAAAGGGGCCGCCTGCTCAAAGCCTATGCTCTCAGGCAAGGACACCACAGCACCATGCCAGGAAACCATGTATTCGGCAAAGGCTCCATCACGACGAACGATGCCACACATAGTCCTATTATCACAGAAACGTGGATCGAGCGATCCAAGACTCTGCATAGCCCATTTGCATCCATTACAACCCTGGCAAGGATCCATAAAGTTTGTAACTCCCACACGATCCCCTATATGCCATATCCCAGGTACATCAGAGCCAAGAGCGACTATTGTTCCGGCTGGTTCATGAGAGCCGATGAAAGGTAATGATACCTGGGTTATGCCATGATATACCATGAGATCGGTGTGACAGAAGCCAGCGGTTGCTACACGGATGAGAACTTCATTGGGCTTTGGCTTGGGAACTGGAACATCATGGAGAAGGGTGTAGTTTTTATGAAACTAAAGACGTCAACGAGTGCAAAAGCACGAGATCTGGGTAGATAACTTCACCTCAACCAGTCTTAATGCTTTCATCGTCTGAGGTACAGTAACATGAGCCGTCATTGTTCCAATATTCTTGATGGAAGGTGACTGATTAGAATGGTTACAGGAGAATAGTTGTGGTGTTGAGTTTGCAAACAGTCAGACGAATTCTCCAGGTTAGGCACAACATTGGATAAATGAGAGTAGCTTACAAAGGAGACAGAATCGGAGTGGTGAGACAGCAAATTACGTGGTTCTCATGCTGACATGTCTTGGCTATTCTTGATTAAGCCAGTTGCCATTATTTGTTTTTTTAACCAGTTCAGTGATTCCCACGACTCATCCTTCATGAACTCATATTTGGATTCCATTCATTGAACCAAAGATTACCCAGAGCCATCATACGTACAATTATCTGGCCTGCTGCGTGTTTACAACTTGGTCATGAAGCTACTCTTCTCATTCTCAAAAATGTTGGTGAGGGTTCCAATATGAGGCAGAATCTCAACCGCAAATTCGTCGCCGTGCCGGAGCGCATCCTTGGGGGTTCGGCCCATCCCAACACCTGCGGGGGTGCCAGTGACAATGACAGTTCCCGGGGGAAGTGTAGTGCCTTGGGACAGCCAGCTGATAATTTTAGGGATAGAAAAGATGAGGTCGCTGAGTGAAGTCAGTGGAGAGATTGTATAACTATGTATGGTGCTACTCACTCAATGCCGCTCTCCTGATACACTTCGCCGTTCTTCAACCCTCGCATGTGAAGCTTGGTAGGATCTGTAATAAGAGATTTGAGAACCAGTGTTGGGCCTATATAGGGAATTGTTAGTTCAATCAACCATAACTTTAGATCAACTTACCTAATGGACAAGCCCCATCAAAGCTCTTTGAGAAAGACCATTGAGACTGGTTTAGCTGTTGAGTACGGCTGGAAACATCGTTGGCGGCAGTGTATCCAAGAACGTAGTCCAAAGCTTCGGCCTCGCTGACGTTCTTAGCTGTCTTACCAATTACCACAGCCAATTCTGCCTCGTAATCGCCAGACTCGTCCACCTGGCTCAGCTTGGGAATGATTCCACGAGCTGGCCAAGGATCCACAATCGTTGTCGCTGGTTTCCTATCTACAGGTCAACTCAAAGTCTTGTCTTATGTTACTGATCAGCCAGACTTACATGAAGATGACCGGGATTGCTGGGGGATCAAGTCCACATTCGGCAGCATGCTTTCTGTACTAATGGCGAGTTAGATCCTGCGATTTTCGGAAGTAGCTTGACATACATTCAAACCGACACACCGAACAGTACCGATCTCATTTTGGGCAAGAGGGGACAGAATGCGGTCAATGGTTTCGGTAGTACCAGTAGAGGATCCTGGGGACAGGACTGATGAACCTGACCAAACACTGACAGCAACCTCTTGACCCTGGCGTAAGGCAGCACCAACATCAATATCCTTGTCTGCTGGCTGACCGATAAGGATCTTGGAAGGACTAGATCTCGGTACAAAGCGTACGAGACCTACAAGAGTTGTTAGGGTAATGCCTTAACGGACTTGAGATGATCTGCTTACGCTGGAGGGTAGATGAGGCCATAGTATCTACTGCGTATGACGTGATTGGGAAAACACTTGAGATCAAAACAAATGAAGACAGAAACCAAGAGATCGAGGCCTTGGGCTCTTTATAAATGGCGGACTTAAGCCTAGCAACAATGAATGAACAGGTATTATTAAGGCCGGCTTCGGCATGTTGATGTCCATGTAACAGCGTGCGGGAGATGGGGTTCCGGCGGGGAGACGCCGGACTGCTATCGGTTCGGGTAGAAGCCCCGGAGGGAACTAATGGAAAGTCAAAACATCCATAACTACAGAGTAGGTACCTCCGTATATATATATGCATTGTATACATATCCTTGCCCATTGATATACTGGCAAGTTGTTAGAAAATTGACAGGCTATACAGAACGGAGTCTTTGGACAGGATATTAAATATAAGTAACTAAAGCAAACACTCTATTTCATCCTTTATACTTGCTAGTCTTCAGCCAGTAAACCTATATCAGAAGATAGAACACAACAACACCATTAAACCACTAACATTTCGATAATGTACAGCAATAAATTAAGCACTACTGCCCTGAATCACATTGGTCAAGGGTCAAAGAAGATGTAAACGTGCAAGATGCAAAAGATAATGCGTGATCCGAGAATCGAACTCGGGACCCTCCCATGGGAGAGGAGGATTTTACCACTAAACTAATCACGCTTCTTTGTTAATGGATGCGAGAGTTGGTAGCCTATGTAGGGAATGGATGCTGAGCTGCATCCTGTGTAACGACAAATTGCTATCTGCCTACCGATGTTGGAGAGTTGAGACGGAGCAAACAGGCGATTGCGAGCTTCTTATATCAGTCGGGGCCGATAGGATCCGCCCATGACTTGCTTAAGATCGCTTTGTGGGGCAGAAACGAACCTTACTGCATTGGTTTTAACTCTCTTCCGCCACGACGTTGACTTCGGCCCAACATAGGTAATCATATTATGGATCGAAGCTCGAAGTACCATGTTTTACATGCAAGTTCGGTATATGATCTAATCAGTTGCTATACGCAGGATGGATAAGGGACAGCACAACAGCCCAAGCTTTGGTGTACCGGTACTGGATGTTGACACGGCACCAAGAGGGCAAAGGCCAGCTGGTACTTACGCTGTCCACGTCTGGGAAGTTGATACAATTCCAGTAGACGATATATCCTACAGTGGTACAACCTATGACTGTATGAAGCTGGCCCAGGGGGTAGAGTTTGGGTCCTAAGAGCGAGGTTCGTGTGATTCTCACGTCAAGGTAAGGAGAGAGAAGTCGGTCCAGGGAGGGGCTTCTCTCGAGCCTGAGCTATTACCAAAGTGGGCCATTCTTGTGGACCACTGTTTCTGACGGAGCCCCAGCTTGAAGCTTCGGGTACGTACTGGGCATGGCCAACCTGAACCCCTCCACCAACAGTTGCCCACCTGAGCTGCAACACCTCGCCTCAATATCGTTAGGTATTCTACGTCACTACATAGTGTATTTCTTCTGGCTACATCGCTACCAATCCGCAAACCGCTCCTCAAGTCACTCACCCTACAAACGCCTACCATGGCCAGCAAGGTTGACCGCATAGTTGCCCGGCTACAGGCCAAGATCGAAGAGGGCGATTATTACGAAGCTCAACAGCAGACCCGTGTCGCGGCATCTCGTTATATCAAGACCTCCAACTGGCCTGCCGCGATCGATATTCTCTCCAATGTATCCCAAGCCTTGCTGCGCGCGGGGCAGGGTGGCAGCGGAGGAGACCTGTGTGCTATGCTGGTCGACGTCTACAAGCAGGCAGAACTCAAGCCTGATGCTACCGCCAAGGGTAGACTATTGACTTGTCTGCGGCTATTCGAGGCTGGCGAGCCTACGAGGAAGAAGTTTATCGGTGAAATCATAGCGTAAGTGCTACATCGTTGTCTTGACGAGCTATCGCGAACGAGCATACTGACATTATTGGGGAAAGTTGGTCAGCAAAATTTGGTGAATATCCAGCTGGAGATCCTGAGCTTCACCATGTCGCCGGCTCACTATATGCCGAGGAGCACGATACATACGAGGCCGAGAAACATTTGATATTAGGAACCAAGGACTCGCCCGAGATTCTGACAAAGATGGAATATAATTGGTACAAGGAGAGCGAGCCTCACCAAGCGGCTCTCTTCGCCGGCCGCGCAGTTCTCCCATATCTCCTCGTTGGCAATGTTCGTGCTGCCAATACCTGCTACCGCCTCTTCACCAGCTCCCTCTCCAACGATAACCCGAACCTTGGTGTCCAAGACGTGTCGAGCTCCGCTGGTGACATCCGCATCTTTCCAAGCCTGCCTCTACTCAACTTTCTTGGCTTTCTCCTTCTTGCTATCCAACGCGGCACACCCGAACTCTACCGTGCTTTGGTGTCCAAGTATGCCACACAAATCAACGAGGCGGGATCATGGGCCGAGGCGCTTGAGATGGTTGGAGAGATGTACTTCGGCCTGTCCAAGCCTCGACAAAGCAACCCTCTTATGGATATGATGAGCGGTTTCTTTGGTGGTGGTGGCCAACCAGAAAAGCCAAAGCGTAAGCAGGTTACGCAACGGCAAGATGCCCCCGCAGCGGAAGGTCTGGACTAGATAATTTGAACTGTGGGCTTGGATGCTGATATACCATATTGTCTTGAGAAAAACATAGACAGCAGGCGTTGGAAGGTAAATAAAAGACTGGGCTAACCACGGGGTTGTTCTTCTGGTTCAAACATCCAATTGTCTTCGGCAAGGGCTGCCACTTTGGCTCGTAGACTTGCTCTCACAGCTTCAAGAAGTTCTGATGCGACGTTAGTAAGATGAGAATGACAAAGACAAGACACGTCGCACCTTCAGGTTGTTCCGTCATCGCATGACGATGCATCTGGTGATGTTTAACTGCTTCTGCCAGACGTTGTCTTTCCTCTAGTCGCATTTTAGCATGGGTAGATCTCTAGTCCTGCGCATGTCTTACTCTCACACTCTTGTCTATGGTCTAGGGGCAACTCATCCTCGTCTTCCATTATCGGTGTCGGAGGGTCCCCGAGCTCAATTTCTCCGTGCTTATCACGAACTACAATCTCAGATGTATCAGATAAAATATCGACGTCTGAATGCAGTGTTTCGGCAGACGTAGAAGTCGATCCAGCGGTAGGTCGCCGGGTCAACTGGCTTTGGAATAGATTACGACGAACGCCTGCTGAAGAGGCGCCGTTTCGAGAGCGGGGAACCCCCGTGCCATTCGTTGTTGTCCGTGTTCGATCTGCCATCGCGAAACCTTCAAGCTCGTTGGTCGTTGTGATATGAAAGAAGTGTAACTACCCAAGAAGTTGAAGGCGACCAAAAATTGGTTATGTAAAGGCAGATGTTATGTCACCTTCTGTTGACTTTCTGTGGGGTGTCCCGGGGTGTCTTCGTCTAGTCATCTTAGCTGCTTCATGTTAGGCTTACTCCATCCTTTTCTTCTCTTCAGCCCATCTGGTCAGGGCAGTTGCACAAACACTTGTGCCTACCTCCAATAAGCATGTGAAGAGCTCAGTGTCACTCGCACAATTACCTACCTTAATCTACTAAGTACTAATAGGCAATCAATAAGCTCCTCACTTCCACTAGGTACCTAGGTATATCTTCACATTCATCGAGTCTCATGCTTTTGGACAGCCCGCTGCCTCCAAGCTCAAAAGGGGGGATTGCATTCAAGGTGTAATAGCCACCCTCACTCCGTCCTTGCAAACGTTAAATCTAAACCATTCTTATTTCAGAAAAAGGTATACACTCGACATGTACCGATGATAGTCGAGTTGCGTTCAGGTATGTTGTCGCCAGTACTATTTGTCATGTGCTCCTGTATGCGGAACATCAGTAGGGCGACCATGTGCCATTGGTGTAATGTGCCGTAAGCTCTGTCTCTTTATCGTACAGCTTGTCTTTATCTCCAAGAATGCAGCCTAGCCCATCAATACGCCCCTGGCATCACCCGAATTCGAGAGTTTATTCTGGTCGCTTTGCGGTGCTCCTACAGGGAGAGGTTGTAGGAGTATTCGTCTTCCATGTTCTGGCTGATCCAAAGGACGACAGAGCTGTGCGGAATTAGTGAAAACATTCGATTTCCTTGGACAATATTCTTCTTACCTAACGCCAACAAGAGCGTTACTGAGCACATTCTCAATCCCCATACCCAGAGCAGGCATAGCGACGCTGGGCACAACGAACTTGAGAACAAAGACGGTGACACCACCGGCCATTCCACCAGCGAGAGCAGCAAAACCCAAGAACAGAACCACGCGAGCCTTCCACGCTACCCCATTTCCGCTGTAGCTGAAGGAATCGGCGCTTAGGCGTTGCTTTTCGACCGAATTGATGATAAGCATGCCCAAGCTGGAGAAAATAAAGGGCAGCCAGTCAACAAACTTGACATGGATATCGGAGCCGTTGCGTGATGACTTTGACCAGACTGCGGAATCGAGCATGATGTAAAAGGCGATGGAGAACTAAAGCGCACCAGGTGGTAAGTACCAAACTATTGACAGGACGAGCACATGAAGTGGCGCATGATGCGTTGAAAGAGCCATGCAACGAAGAACGCCGAATTCTCAAGCAGGGGATAATTTTATAGATTCAACGTACAATAGCTCCGGCACTGTAGACACCAGCATTTCGGGCCCAGACCGTGTTGAGCCACTCGGGCCGTCGAAACTTCCAAAGACGCTCTTCCTCCATAGCTAAAGATTATGTGCGTTGCGAAAGGTTTGGTTCCTGTAGTGCAGTTGTCTGATGTTGCAGTATCGCTGATCGTTAACGAATGATCGTGTTGACGATAGGTGCTCGGGACTGGAGGCTGACAATGACGAGGCTCACGCGTGGACGGGACCGGCCTTGCTTTAGCGCCGATTGGGATCACGTGATGCATCTCTGTCTGGAAGTGCGACTTGGTGAAGTGGGTCGTGGTCGTGGAGACATTTCGCGTGGCTGGGTGTCATAAACTGCAAAACACAAGAATCCACTCGCGGAGACGCAAAAGATCCCCGTCGTAGAGAGCCATGTCTCATTGATTACCCCGCTGGTCGGTGCGATGCTCGCTCCGCTCACGCAGGACCCTGAAAACAATGGAGTTGAGCTGCGGATAGTGACAAGTATCACCATAGGGCATGTACCTACTAACACAAGGTCTTGTAAGCTGTAAGCTCCAGTTTCGCTTCTTACCTGATAGATATTTAGGGTCAGGGCATATGTAAGGGACTGGAATATAGTGATGTGGCGCATATGATATTGATCAAGGCGAAACTCTATTCAGCTAAGCATTTTACTTTGCATGCCGTTTCAACGGTGTCCAACGGTTCGGATACAGCATCTCTATCTGCAAGATAATGCATCAAGAAGTGTAACGACAGGAAGCCACTTGAACAAGACCCAGCCGTCGCGGATCCGGGTATGCAACTAAGTACTTGTCAAATGTAGCATGATATTGACAACCAATGGTGCCTGTTACGTTCATAGCCGGACAACAACAGATGCTGGGTACCTACCTATCATGTATTAACTTGACTGTACACACCACGCTTTCCATGGGGCAACCATTATTAGACGAGGCTCTCAGGCACAACACCAAAAGCCATCGAGGTTCGTGGGCCAAAACAGCCAGCCGCTGAGGATTCAAGGCTGACCACCATACCTGTGTGGCGGCGAGCCGTGTCTGTCAAGTTTCACCGAATGAATCCAGAGTGTTGATAGCCGCTGCACATTCAAAACAATTGCCGCATTAGCCTCTAGGTATTAATAGGCCACAGCTCTCCTGATATTTGCAGTGTTGCTAATGTTTTTCAGACAGACGCTATCGAACATGGGCGAATAAGATCTTCCCAATAACACCTGGTCTAGACCTATTCGATCTTAAACATCAGGTGCACCATTCTCCTTTTTACTGGCCTGCCCTTCGCAAACACCTGGCCCACGCATTGACAGGCAGGCATTAGGAAGGTGCAGCAAGCCCCAGTCCCTGCCCGCTTCTGTCTCTGTTGTGCGACCCCGTCTTTTCAGTCCCTTCCCCGTCCCATCGCTTCAACTCGATCTTCACTCTATCATACAATTGCTAACGCGATTTTTGGTAGTGCGTCTCGCCCACTCGCTTGGTTACGCACACTCATTCGCTCGCCTATGCAGTTATTACATTCTTTATTTCTTTCTTAGTCCTTGTTGTATTCCTTCGTTCGAGTTGCAGGTGACCGGCACAGATAACTTCACTAATTACCCATCTCTCGCTTGCCGTCTTCACTCCGCTCGCCCCCTTGCCAGGACAATAGACGCGGCATATCCCTTCGGACGTACACATGACTATCGAGCAATAAGTCGCCTCCTACTTCCGGGTTCTCGAAGAAACACGCCTGTTTTTCTATGCGCTATTTCATAACGGGAGCACACATCTGCTAAATCAACGCTCGACCTCCCCTTTTGACATTCCTAACCACCCTCGATATACGCAATTTATCTCACCCGCCCTGGGTCGATCGCAAAACAGAGTCTCACACGATTGTTCCGTGGTTCCTAACGCCTATCTCACGAGAGATCTTTTTCCAACAATACTTAATATCGATTCCGAGGACGTAATTTGTTTGGACAACTATTCTGAGAGATAGCCGATTGAAACAACTACTTCAGCATGAGACCAATCAACTACCTACCGAGACCTGACCTTTTGGTCTCGGTGTTTGCCTCCATTTCAGTGTACGGTGGCCTGGCTATGGCTCAAGATACCAAGGATGACCCCAAGAATAATGATCCATCTGCTGTTCCTGAGGCGACCGATTCGAAGAATAGCGATGCCAATAAACCCACCAATACAGCCGCTGAGCCAGCTAGTACTGAGACGAAAGACAATGCGAAGCCTGCGTCAACGAAAGACGAGCAGTCTTCCAAAACGGAGGAAAAAGAAGAGCCCAAGTCTACTGCGAAAGATGACGCCAAGTCTACTGAGGAAGAGGATCAGGCTAGTACTGCGACAGGAGAGGGTCCAACCAAAACCAAAGACATTCAGTCCACGATCACATCCATCGCTTCTTCTGGCACGGAAGAAGCTATGCCTACCTTGACAAGATACAAGCCAATCCCGACTTATCCAGCTCCTTCGGTTCCTCCTACTAACAACGCTCCTTTCATGCGGCACTCGAGTGCCCCTGACGGTACCGTGTTTATTGCAGTTGGTGCTATCCTTGGCGCTCTTGGGCTCGCCATCCTACTCTGGCGTCTTATCGTTGGCATCCTCCTCCATCGGTCTGTTGAGCGAGCAGCCAAAGCCCAACATAGCGAGAACGCAAAGACTGGCTTTCCTGCGCCCCCTGCACCCTTCTACAAATATACTGATACCGGATCGACAATGTCTCTCTCTGCTGGTCGTGGCGTGCGACGAACCACTCGTGGACCTGTTCTATCGTCAACTCCTAGTGCCTCCAATCTGTTTTTCTCTCCAACTGCCGCAGCATCAGGCAACGGGGCTGGCAATCGTGGCTCTGCATTTTTGCCGTCTGGTTTTTATGCGGCTGGCACGAGCTCTCCCGGTGGCCAACATGAGAATAACATCAGCATGACCAACTTACGCCCTGATTCACGCGGTCACTTTGGCACTCCTTCACGACATACCTTGAATCCAAGTCCTCCAGATTCACCTTCATTCCAAGGCCGAAGGGATATCAGTAACTCGACCCTCAATCTCAATCGACCACCAAGCCAACGCGCCCCTAGTGCGTTCCTCGAAGATCTTCTCGCTGACGATCCTTCGAGTCTGCCACCTCCACATATGCCTGCCTCGACCGCCAGGCGCTCATCCTATGGCAGTGGCTCTCCTGGCGCGCACAACCGAATCTAAACCGGTATCAAGCGACTTCTATCATGGCAAACTTTACATACGAGCGACATCATGCTTAAGCGTCCTTGTTACCAGAGAAAACATTTGGTGTTACATGAGGGGCATCACCTTTGAATCATTTTACAACAGCGGCGTCAAGAGAGTGGCATTTTTCTCGTTGGGATATGGCTTGTGGATAATTCGATACTGAGTCATAAGAGGATATAGGTGTAATGATCCTCGGTAATGTGTACATGGGTGTTTTGAGTAGAATTTTGGGCTATTGTCGACGATGCAATAGTTCAGCTTGGCTGTAGGCAATGGTGTAGCTTTAAGCCCTAACCACGGCCGCTACCAGACCACCAAAGTTCTAGTATATGTTTGGATAGCTTGGGGAGTTAACGGTTTTGATCCATACTCCAGAATTATATT